TATATATATGATATATATATATATATATATATATATATATACATATATATATATATATATATATATATATATATATATATATATATATATATATATATATATATATATATATATATATATATATATATATATATATATATATATATATATATATATATATATATATATATATATATATATATATATATATATATATATATATATATATATATATATATATATATATATATATATATATATATATATATATATATATATATATATATATATATATATATATATATATATATATATATATATATATATATATATATATATATATATATATATATATATATATATATATATATATATATATATATATATATATATATATATATATATATATATATATATATATATATATATATATATATATATATATATATATATATATATATATATATATATATATATATATATATATATATATATATATATATATATATAGTTACATCTCTACCAGTATTAACATTTTCATTAATATGTGTATAAAGTGTGGTGAAGGCCTTTTAACAAGATTATGGGGATTTTGTAGCTACTTTATAAAGCTAGATGAAGATAATTGTAAACCCAGCAGTGTATTTGAACCATAGTAAAGTACTTCAATTAAACGGTTGTGGTGATTTTGCTATGTAACAAAATAACTATATTAACAAACAATTAGCCAGTCTACTGTAGTTATAACTATTTGCTATTATACAACTAACGTATTATACCACAAACTAGGCTATACATTATACATTACACCACAGTTAAACTAAAATACAGCCTTCATTAATAAATAAATAAACATTATTGAGCATGCCTGGGGCAGATGAAGGAGAAGGCATTGAAGATAAATCTGCTTTCTTTGCCATTCCAGATGGCTTTAATAAGTGATTACCACACTGTTCCAGTTACTATGACCATTTATGTGAAGCTGCTTTGACACAATCTACATTGTAAAAGCGCTATACAAATAAAGCTGAATTGAATTGAATTGAATTGATTTGAGTCATTGCAGAGATGTATGGATGCAGTCCTCCAAGCTCATGGGTGTCATACACATTATTCATTATTTTTCCTCTGCAGCATGACCTATACTGAACATTATTTCTGTTAAGTGACGAGACTTTTGTCTAAGCAAAGTCAGACCTTACTGTCCTAAATAAATCATTAAAATCAAGGATGCTCTTAATTGCTCATGATCATATTTTATTTTGCAAATTAGAGTAATCTAGAGGTGTTTGCCTTTTATATAAGCCACTTCTGATACCAAACTAGAAGTCAAGTTGTTGTTGCTAAAATTTGGATAGACGACAAGACTTTTGTCAGGTACCATCATTTCATGCGGGATGTTAAGCACACTAGCAACATATCACAACTTATTTGCACTAGCAGTTTGCTACAAAGCTCAAGAAACAGGCTTGTACGTGCTAGGAATGTACAGTAAATGACCTTTAAAACCTTAAGAGTTCAAAGCTTTAAATCTACTTAAAATGTGAAACTTGTGAAGCTTTTTCAAACCTGCTGGTCAGGTCAGAAGTTCAAAGTTCGTCACGACAAACCTTATCTGGATATCTTTATCTAGTTTTGTTTTGTTTTTCCTCATGACAGTTTAGAAATCAAACACCACCAAAGTTGATTACAGACTTAAATGTTAACTAATCCTTATATAATAATTTATGAACAATCTATCTAAAATATGATTACTATTATAAGCATGTGGAAGGCTAATATATTTATAATTGTAGCGGCTACGTGGAGTAACAGCTGAGAGGCTAAAACAGAGGCATGTTTTGTGACGCAAACATCAAATGTAAACAAGGCAAGAAGTCGTTCCAATGTCTTCACTCGTTTATTTTCCAATATAAAACATACCTTGATATTTAGACAGTGTAGAATTTGACTTGGGCTTAAGTTTGAGCTTAAGTTTGAGCTTAAGTTTGTGCTTAAGTTTGTGCTTAAGCTTGTTTTTTTTGGTCAATTCAAGTTGTGAATGAACAGGTGCCGTGACCCCGGTGACCCTCCACCACAATCACATGACACAGGTTAACCATTTCATGTCTTCTACAATAATGATGTACTAATATCAAATGTTATTGCTTAGGGCCATCGTGTCAACTCAATATTTAGCGCTGTTGCCTCAAAGCAAGAAGGTTGCTAGTTCGATTCCCAGCTGGCATTTCTGTGTGGAGTTTGCATGTTCTCCCCGTGTTGGTGTGGGTTTCCTCTGGGTGCTCCAGTTTCCTCCACAAGTCCAAAGACATACGGTACAGGTGAATTAAATAAACTAAATTGACCTTAGTGTATGAGTGTGAACAAGTGTGTGTGGATGTTTCCCAGGACTGGTTTGTAGCTGGAAGGGCATCTGTTGTGTAAAACATGCTAGATAATGATAAGGGGTGGCGACTTCTGATGAATAAAAGGACTTTATTAAAAATAGAGGGATGAATAAAATGATTATTATAATTGGGCAGGTGAAAGGCTAATCTTTTTCTAGTAATGTACTAATCTCAAATGTCATATCGATTAAATCACTCTAGTATATGGTTTATAGTAGTCCGTGGCTTTTATTATTATTATCATTTTTGACCCTGGACCACAAAACAGCCTGATGTTTCATGTGTATATTTTAATAATGTTAATTTACTGGTGGTGGTGCAGTGGGTAGTGCTGTTGCCTCACAGCAAGAAGGTTGCTGGTTCAAGCCTCAGCTGGGTCAGTTGGTGTTTCTGTGTGGAGTTTGCATGGGTTTCCTTTGGGTGCTCCGGTTTCCCCCACAGTCCAAAGACATGCAGTACAGGTGAATTGGTTAGGCTAAATTGTCCGTAGTGTTTGAGTGTGAATGAGTGTGTATGGATGTTTTCCAAAGATGGGTTGCAGCTGGAAGGGTATCCGCTGCGTAAAACATGTGCTGGATAAGTTGGCGATTCATTCCGCTGTGGTGTCCCCAGATAAATATAGCTGAAAAGAAAATGAATGAATGAGTAATTGACTGATTATTACTATTTAATGTATTAATATTTTCACAATAGCCTACAAACACTGTACATAAGGGTCAAAATAGTAGATATTTGATTTTTGCTTAATGCTAAAAATCATTAGAATACAAGTAAAGATCATGTTCAATGAATATATTTTGTACATTTACTACTGTAAGCGTATCAAAACTCAATATTTATTTGTAATATGCATTGCTAAACACTTTGTATTTCTCGATATTACATTTTTTGTTTGACTAGTCAGATTTCAGATGTCCAAATTGTTGTATCTCAGCCAGATATTGTTTCATCCTAATGTATATATAATGCATATATGATGAGTTCAGATGCAAAAACCTCTAAGTGCCATCTAGAATTTTCTGCAACAATGAGCATTTTTATTTGCCTCTTATGTTTATGTTCAGTTATTTCATGTTAAAATAGATGGAAATTACTTATTCTTTGCCATAAAAGTTAAATTACTGAATCAAGACATTGAAGCCTGAGAAAAATGAAAGTTTTAATAGAAAATTTCAGATGCCACTTAGAGGTTTTTGCATAACCTTTCAGACAAATCCCTTATGGCTGGTTTTGTAGTCAAACACACACAAACTCCTCACAAATACTAAACTTGTATTGTTGGGGGTCACACTTTACAATAAGTTTCATTAGTTATTGTTAATTAATGCATTTATTAACATGAACAAACAATGAACAATACATTTACTATTAGTTCATGTTAACTAACGGTGCATTAACTAATGTTAACAAGCACGGGCTTGGATGTTAATAATGCATTAGTAAATGTTCAGTTATGATTAATAAATGCTGTACATGTGTTGTTCATGATTAGTTCACGTTAGTATATGCATTAACTAATGAACCTTATTGTAAAGTGTTACCAAGTTAACAGGAGGATGTCACATGTGTAAAAAAGAGCATGATTCTTATAGTTTCAGTTTTATTTATAACAACAAACAAGAAATGAAGGAAAAACCCAAGAAGAAGTGGCATTTCTTTATTTCGCAGCACATGACTTTTGGACACGTCAGAAGTGAAACAGTCCATTTCACATGTGAAGATATCATGAACAAATTATAAAATTGCAAAAAGTTCAATCTGACATGATTTTAGAACAGTTAAGCCAAGCCGTTGTGCACAATGGAAACAACATCATCATAATCGGTCAAACAGAGAAATATTTACAAGGTACAGAGGGAAATGTCTTTTAGAGCACCACATCACGTGATAAATAGACAAAGGCATATCGAGATTTCCTGCGTACAGGTGATGAATTAAATATGAACACACAGAGGAGGAGAATGGCTTTGATTTCACTTTTTACAGGTTCGAGTGAAACTCATGCTGAAAAGAGTGTGCATTTAAAAAAACGGTGAAATCGTGGGTCAGTTTTTTGATAATCATAATGTATGTAAGGTTTAGGGGTTTAAGCACCTTGTATATAATACAAAACATACTAAAATCCTCTGTAACATTCAGCTTGCTCTAGGTTTTAAGCCTCTTTCGTAATGGCCAACTGTGAGTGGATAATCTTGTGCACTGTAAAAAATAATATCTGTAAAATAGGTTGATTTTTAAGCTTTTGTATTGCATTATGGGATCTTGAGCTGTCCTCCAGCAACTTTTGATGTTGAAAAGTTTGAAAAAGTGACTTTTGTTGACATTTCTAATAGTTTGAAGTGATATTTTGAAGTAAAAATGAGCAGTTTTCTTTATTTTGGGATTCATGTATTTACTTTTCCCTGTTTATTTGTGCTTATGATTTGCATTATGGGACCTTGATCTTTCTTCCAACAACTTTTAACCTTAAAAAGTTTTTAAAAAGTGACTTTTATAAACATTTTTAATAGTTTAAAGTGATATATTGTCTGTGTTGGTGTTGTATATTATGCTACAAAAACCTTGTAATAAACTGCAGTACATTTTCTGTTATTTTACACATATTTGTCTATAAATTATCATACATTATATTATTTCAAACTATTAAAATGTCAATTAAAGTCACTTTGTTAAAATGTAGAGTCGAAATTTCAACATCAAAAGTCAACAGAGCAGAGATCAACACCCCATGTTGCAATTTACAACTGTAATTAAACAAAAAACACTTTATTTGTTAAGTATCAGATCATTTTTACAGTGCAAATATGAATTACAGCACAAAAACCAGGTTATAAACTTCCAGTATTTAGTTTGTCATTTAATTATGCATTAAAATTTACGTTTAAATTTTTATTTAATACACTAAAATGCCTATAAAAGTCACTTTCCTAAACTGCGGAGTTGAATTTTCAACATCAAAAGTCAACAGAGCAAAAATCAATGCAATTCATAACCTTAAATAAATAACAATAATCATTTGAAACCTGTCGAATAACAAATATATATATATATATATATATATATATATATATATGTATGTACTTTTTACAATGTACTTAAAGTTCCAGTCAAATTTGTATTTAAAATAAGGAAGTGATGGTTGCAAAGCAAATGACATGCATATGAGACATGTAGCAACAGCGGTGTCATTTCCAGCAAGTTGACAGTCATTACAGGAGACAGCATTAATCAGCGGTCTACATGTGATTGGCACCAGATCAGCATGAGCAGAGCTATTTTAGTAAAAGTCTCTTTGAATCATGTTTGATAGTCTTCAAGTTGCTCTTGGGTGTCTATTCTCAATAAGGTACCCTGTATATCTGTTGCTTTAACAATTACACATGTGCTTGTTTTGATGACGGGTCAAATAATGCTGAATTCGTGTACAAAATTGTAAAATAGAAAAGTAGCAATTAAAAGTGTCTTGCTTTTAACATTTGAATGGCTTATAAAAATGATCCCAAGTCAGACTTCTTTCACAGTCAATGCAAGTTACAGATTGTATGAATAATAACAGCGCTGGAACATTTTTGACGGGCCAAACACTGGCCTGTAAACTGTATCTTATTTCTAACTGGCATTTTAAATTTTGGCAAATTTCTATACATTAGGCACACTGTAAAAAATGATTAGTTGACTTAAGATAAGTAAGTCAGCTTGTTATTTTAAAAGCAATAATTGACTTTACTTACGATAAGTAAATAACCTGTTACTTTTAAAACGATTAGTTGACTTTACTTAAAAAAGTGAGTAAACCTGTTGCTTTAAATCAATTAGTACACTTTATTCAAGATCAATACAGTAAGTAAACCTGTTGCTTTAAAAAATATATAAGTTAAGAGTAAACCTGTTGCTTTAAAAGCGATTAGTTGACTTTACTTAAGATAAGTGAGTAAACCTGTTGCTTTTAAAACGATTAGTTGACTTTACTTTAGATAAGTAGGTAAACCTGTTGCTTTAAAAGCAATTAGTTGACTTTACTTAAGATAAGTGACTAAACCTGTTGCTTTTAAAACGATTAGTTGACTTTACTTAAAATAAGTGAGCAGACCTGCTGCTTTAAAAGTGATTAATTGACTTTACTTAAGATAAGTGAGTAAACCTGTTGCTTTTAAAACGATTAGTTGACTTTACTTTAGATAAGTAGGTAAACCTGTTGCTTTAAAAGCAATTAGTTGACTTTACTTAATATAAGTAAATAAATCTGCTCTTTTAAAACGATTAGTTGACTTTACTTAAAATGAGTAAACCTGTTGCTTTTAAAAAGATTAGTTGACTTTACTTAAAATAAGTGAGCAGACCTGCTGCTTTAAAAGTGATTAATTGACTTTACTTAAGATAAGTGAGTAAACCTGTTGCTTTTAAAACGATTAGTTGACTTTACTTTAGATAAGTAGGTAAACCTGTTGCTTTAAAAGCAATTAGTTGACTTTACTTAATATAAGTAAATAAACCTGCTCTTTTAAAACGATTAGTTGACTTTACTTAAAATGAGTAAACCTGTTGCTTTTAAAAAGATTAGTTGACTTTACCTTAGATAAGTAGCTAAACCTGTTTCTTTTAATATGATTAGTTGACTTTACTTTAGATAAGTAGGTAAACCTGTTGCTTTAAAAGCAACTAGTTGACTTTACTTAAAATAAGTGAGTAAACCTGCTGCTTTTAAAAACAATTAGTTGACTTTACTTAAAATAAGTGCGCAAACCTGTTGCTTTGAAAGCGTTTAGTTTGCTTGAAATAAGTGAGTGAACCTGTTGCTTTTAAAATGATTAGTTGAGTTTACCTTAGATAAGTAAGTAAACCTGTTGCTTTAAAAGCAATTAGTTGACTTTACTTAAAATAAGTGAGTAAACCTGCCGCTTTTAAAAACGATTAGTTGACTTTACTTAAAATAGATGAGTAAACCTGATGTTTTGAAAGCAAGTAGTTGACTTTACTTAAAATAAGTGAGTAAACCTGCTGCTTTTAAAAACGATTAGTTGACTTTACTTAAAATAGATGAGTAAACCTGATGTTTCGAAAGCAAGTAGTTGACTTTACTTAAAATAGGTGAGTAAACCTGCTGCTTTGAAAGTAATTAGTTGACTTAACCTAAAATAAGTGAGTGAATCTGTTGATTTAAATCTGATTAGTTGACTTTAGTTAAGTGAGTAAAATAGACGCCTTCTTAAGTAAATTTCAGTAAAAACTAAGTTAAATCAACTTAACACTTCCAAGTTACAAAAGGTTTGCTTGATTTGTCGCGTTTTAGGCAACGGCTTTTCTCACTTATTTTAAGTAAATAATCACCTTTTACAGTGCATCTACATCCACCTTCATGCTTGAATAGTGTCTATTTTCATTTGTAGGCATAAAAAAATCTATCCTATACTAGTTTTCTCATGCACATATAGACTATCATACATATACACAAAATGCTAATGGCTCTGTTTGAAATTAATGAAAAGCCCAGCTGAAAATACTGAAGCCCAAAGTATACTGATAATTTTGTTATTTTTCTTCTGATTTTTTCGACAAATTAGATACAGTTTTCAAATGCACTTTGAATAATTTTTGCACTACTTAATTTGATCACTTTGCTGTTAATATTGAACCGTGCCGTTCTAGCAAAGTCAGGAAATAAAAATGTACAAAATTAACCGGCAAAGGCAGTTTTATCAGTGATAATTTTCAAAGAGAGAAAATGCACAGACACAATAAAGACTGGCAGGCGACTGTGTTTGTGCACACTATCAAACGTATACTTTGGGCTTAACTGTGGGGAAAGTACATTCAAATCTACTATTTCACTGTCAATGCTTTTTCATTTAATTTCATTCCTCCTCAAGTGAAAACGGGCTCCACAAACATTATTTGAAACACTTTACACTTTAACGCAAGTGCTGAGTTTCAATCAATCACATCCTCAAATACTAGACTCAAGATCCGCACTTGAATGGAAAATGTGGTATAAAAAGGACAGGATTTTATAATACAATAAATTTAAAAATGCACGGTATGATGACTTCATAAATTGCTTTAACATCACATCACAAACAAATGTGAACATTAAACTTAAATGCACTGAATCTACTAATTAAGGACTAGCGGTAAAAAATCTGGAATGTTTGAAATCTGAAATTCTGGATTAGCGATGTACATTACGTATAAAATTATTATGAAAGATCGAATGAGGAACTGACATCATAATAATGAGTACTGAAGGTAAAAGAATAAGCAGAAATACCAAGGAATATACTGCATTAGAACATAAGGAAACAGGTCTCTAAAAGTTTAACATGGAGTTCTTGGTAAACATCAAGGTCTTGATCCAACTTATCGAAGTATTCGAGAAATCCATTCATTCAAAACGTTGAAGCCATTGAGAGGGAAAAGGTACTTGAGTATTTCTGATTCATTTGGAAATATTGTGTGGATGTGTTGTGCTTTATTTTAATGCACTCGCCCAGTTGTTTGGTTTCTTGCGTTCTTCCATCTGCAATGGCGTTCTCCTCACCTTAACTAGTCTTGGATTTAGTGTAATCCTTGGTGTGCAAAACACTAAGATGGTATGATGCCACCTAATTTGTGTTCTTTGACCCCTGAGATGCATTCAAATTGATCAGTGGAAGTCTGTTGTCATAGAAAGCCAAAAATAAATCCAACGGCATAACAATCTTATGTGAAATGTCCATCAAACTATAAAGACACAGATAGTCATCCTTTGAATATAGTTGAGTGAAACTTCAATTTGAACACATCTCTAGTTTGGCTAATCGGTCAAGGCAGCTGTTGGGATTGATTTTCTTGCTCTACTTCTTCGGATGAAACACCATGAGGGGGCGCTCTTCAATACGCTGCCAGGGGCTCTTCTTGTTCTCCTCCTTGTCATCAAGATCATTGTCATCTTCAGGGCTGGTAACGGAGTCACGCTGCGTTTCGCTGTTGCTACTACGTGAGCTGTTCCCCCTGCTTCGACCCCTTCTCGGCATTGAAGACCCCCTTGGCTCTTCGGGACCATCATCCAAAAGAGGCGTTAGAGGGTTTTCCAATGGCGAACTCGCCCCCATCCGACTCACCCCTCCACTTAGGTCAAGCGGGTCATGGTAGGCAGGTTTGGAGTAGTGTTTCCCTCCACCAAAGCTGCTTCCTCCATGCCCCTTACGGCTGCTTCCATGGTGCTCCTCTTTGGTCTTGCGACCAGATGCAGATTTGCGATCATGTTGGGTGTCTTGTAGACTTGCATCAATGCTTCGGTCCTTACTACTCCCAGCTGGGGCACTCAAGGTGCTTTGGGCGCTGTGGTTTCCACTGTGTGTTCCACTATGGCCGTGATCAGCACCTACGTCAATGTATGAGTGACGTACGTGAGCATTGGCGCGTCCGTCAAGAGAGATGAACCATGCCCGAGGATGCTGCTTCACCCCCAGTTCCAGAAGCTTCTTCTCTGTAAGTGCTTGCAGCTCTCCGTTCATCTGTGAAATCGTGGAGTCATTGAATAAAACTGGAATGTGGACCGGAGCTGGTGTACCACTGGAGGGCCAAACGCTGTCATCAGAGCCTGCAGGAGATGCACCTTGCTGGCCATCGGTATGTCCTGATCCTGGGGTCTGTCCTTGATGGATTTGGCTTTGAATCCCACTGCTGGTACCTTGTGAACTCTGTCCATCTCGATCTGATTGATTTGTTCCATCCTTACCTTGATCTGAGCCACCAAACTCAGAGGAGAACCTCATGTAGTGGGCTGGGATTACAAGAGTTGGTACCATAGTACGATACATGTTCTCCTTCATCTGATCTAATGAGCTGCAGAATATAATCTGACCTGGTTGTGTGTTGAGTGATGTTGGACGAGCGAGATGATCTGGCCCTTGCAAAACCTGTGAATACTCTGGAGGCTTGTCAACAAGTGGTGGGGAAGGCGGGTCGGATGTGTAGCCTCGGTTATCATTGACAACATGTCTGCGGCGATAGTCTTGATCCTTGTCGTCAGAACTGTAGTTGCGGCCGTAGTTTTCATGTAGAAGATTGCTATCCAGATTGCTTGTATCTGTAGATTGATGCACCTTCATGGGGAAACTCTCGGGATTTCTTTGGGCTCCTTTGGATTGCTTGTTCTTTGAGGAATGGCGTAGCTTATGGGCAGGAATGTGCCGGGTAAACTCATCTCGGGCACTTTTGAAGGCATGGGATGGGGATCCCTCGGATTTATTGGCGTCCAAGTTGCCATTGGAGGCAGCAGATTCAACATGGCCTCCGCAGATGAGGTTCAAGTGGGACGTGGAGGTGCCTTGGTCCTTCCTGGATCCATTCAAAGCAGATGGAACTTGAACCTGTTTCTGCTGCCGTCGGGGCTTCAGACACCTTCGTCTGGAAAACAGATGCTGACATTTAGCAAATCTTCAAAAGATATCTTACGATCAATCAGGCTCATTGGGAAAACATTGCTTAAGGTGACATTTGGTATGTTGGTGTTGTTTTGCTAGTTATAATGTACAGTGAGTGGAATGAAATCTACACCCCGCTCTAAATATTACCAATAGTTTAAGGAAAAGCAAAAGAGATTGGTGACCCCTGGTTTAGACCAATGGTCACCAAACTTGTTCCTGGAGGGCCAGTGTCCTTCAGATTTTAGCTCCAACCCTAATCAAACACACCTGAACAAGCTAATCAAGCTCTTACTAGGTATACTTGAAACATCCAGGCAGGTGTGTTGAGGCAAGTTGGAGCTAAACCCTGAAGGGACACCGGCCCTCCAGGACCGAGATTGGTGACCCCTGTTTTAGACAAAGACTAGGCAAGCTAGTCTACAAATACACACCTGCAGTAGTAGAGTAAGACACAGAGCAAGACTAGCACAAGCAGAGCGAGAGATCCCAGGATGGACAGCAAGAAGAAGGTGTGGTAGGCCGTGATGTCCCTCAGGCCTGGGTGAGACAAACCTGAGCCTTGTGTACAAATACAAAGCAGGATCAGCATTTTTGTGCTTGAGTCAAGATGCAAATATGTGTGTTTTTGCATTTGGGTGTATCACCTGATGAAGCTCGGAAGGCAGCGATCCAGTAGCCCAGCTGGGACGCAGTGAAGTCCCATCTTAGCTGAGATCCCTCTCGAATGATAAATCCTGTTCCATTTCGAACCCAAAGTCCTGGACATCAAAGGTTATTTCCAAAATGAGGATCTAGCAATATTTAGGCTTTAATTGTCATAATGCATTACAATTTTTGATTTGTACAATTGCATAAACGACGTCTGCTACAGTACATCTTTAAATAAACATCTTCCATTACCATGGAAGTCAATGGGTAGCATCAACCAGCATTCTTTTAAATAACTTCTTAATAACTTCGAACAGAAGAAGGAAACTCAATGAGTAAATGAATACAGGGATTTTATTATGCGTACTAAACCTTTAAGGTTTCTAAGGCGTGATTGTACCTGTCTTGGTGTCGTACATCCATACAGGTATGCTGCTGGCAGATCGTATGTGTGTATCAGACGGCAGAGGCACAGAGATGTGGACAGGCTCACTGACTTCAACAGCTCGGCCCTCGCGGTCAAACAACTGTGCACTGACTGCTGCTATCGTTGTCAGGTCCGTCCAGCCATTTTCTCCTCCTTAAATGATTACACCATCATGAACATTCACACATCAAGGCTCCCCTACATATATGCAATCTAAAAAGTCTCATGAGCATTTATTAAAGGTGCTGTATGTATGTTTTTTGACTTTTATAAAGCATTAAAATACTGTAATAAGTTTCCAGATATTTGAGAAGCATGCTAGGTGAACATACTTGTTTATCTGTTGTATAGAAACAACACTAAGGTCAGTTATTCTGCTTTGAAAATGTGCGCCAAAATGTCTGTCTTTGTTTTGGTCTCTATAACCAGCCCCCTGCCAGTATTTCAGAACCCATCGCAGCAGGCACACAACTTCATAAGACATTAAAATAAGGTTAGATTTAGGTTGTGACGTCAGGTGACCAAATTCATTGTCTAGCCAGCATCAAAGGACAACGTTATTTTAACGCCCAAAAACGACGTTAAATTACGTAAATTACGTTGATATTTGGTTGATTTTAGGTTGTGTTGGAAGGTGACCAAAATCCAACGTCTGATAGACGTCATAGTGGTAACGTTCACACAAAGTAAAGGTGTAACATGATTAGATGTTGATATTTGGTTGATTTAAGGTTGGACGTTGAACATTAATGTCCGCCTGATGTTGGGTTCTGACGCCAACGTGATTTTCATTTCCAAACAAAATCCATCGCCCCCCACGATGTTGAGGTACAACGTCAATATGACATTATGTTAACGTCCTGCGCTTGCCCTTGAAGGACAACATTGTATTTTGTTTCAGTCATAAGGTTGCATCAATGTACGCAGGTGCAGCTGTAAACGTGACAGTAGCAGGCCTCTAAAATGAGATGAAGATTCAAAGAAATTGACATAAGGTGGTTTTAATTAGCAAATAATACAAATATGCGACAGTGATTAGCACTGTCGCATCCCGGCTGGGATAGTTGGCATTTCTGTGTGGAGTTTGCATGTTCTCCTTGTGTTGGCGTGGGTTTTCTCCACAGTCCAAGCACATGTGCTATAGGTGAATTGAATAAACTAAATTAGCTGTAGTGTATGAGTGTGTGTGTGTGTGTGAATGAGTGTTCATGGGCATTTCCCAGTACTGGGTTGCAGCTGGAAAAGCATCAGCTGTGTAAAACATATGCAGGATAAGTTGGCGGTTCATTCCACTGTGGCAACCCCTGATAAGTAAAGGGACTAACCCGAAGGAAATTGAATGAATGAATGATACAAATATTACAAAGGTAAACATTAGCTGAGCAGATAACAGTGTAAGGCCATCTGGCAACCTGCGTGTGCATCCAGTCATCATTGGGGGGGGATCAAGTGAAAAAACCCTCTCCAATATTTGGAATTTGGCCCACAATATCTAGTCAATCCTACACACTGCACCTTTAATATTAAAAATGTGCAAATATCTAGAGAGACTTTAGAGACCTGTGTTGTTTGGTTCCAGAGCGAGTGGGTAAGGGAAGGAGTTGATTTCATTCTGCTCTCTTGCTGTTGTTAAAACTGCCGTCAGTTCTGTGTAGGAGGAGTTAAACTGTAGGCTCCGCCTTGGAACCTGCAGCCACGGCTGGCTCCGCCCACCTAAAGGTTTACAGAGTAACAGAAAGTAAGTGCATTCACTTACAAGAAGTATTTGAGATTAATTAGATTGAATTTTTAAAATGATAGTTCACCCAAAAATGAAAATTCTGTCATCATTTACTCATCCTTTACTTCTTTCAAACCTTTATGAGTTTCTTTCTTCTGTAGAACACAAAGGAAGATAATTAGAAAAATGCTGAAAACGTGTAACTATTGACTTCGATGGTATTTGTTTTTCCTACTATGAAAGTCAATGGTTACAGGTTTCCAACATTCTTCAAAATATCTTCCTTTGTGTTCAACAGAAGATAGAATCTCTGATTTGGAACCACTTGAGGGAGATTAAATAATGAGTACATTTTATTTGTAGGTGAACTATCCCTTTAAGACTTGGAACTAAATAATCTTTAGTAAAAATGTCTGTTTGCATTGTGTGTGCAAGGCTTTGGTTTTCTAAGCATGACTAAATGCCATATTCATTGCAGTTCACTTCCTTTATTCTAATATGTAGTGAAATGCAATGCGTCATTGATAATAACCATACAGTGTCTGTCTTTACGGCGCACTGAATGTCCTATCATTATCTGGGAATTAGAGCAATTAGCACATTCAGATGTCAGAAGTTTTTGTGATGGAAATATAATGTGTTTCTGCTGTTGCTATGGCGACAGCTGGAGGAACCGGAGGTGTCAGTTTGACTTAAGCTTGAGTGGGTGAAAAGGCTAAGTCATGCATATGTCAACTTCCTCATATTTCATCGCACCAACTATCTTAAAGATAAATAATCCAATATTTTTCTCTCCAGATTTTCTTGGTGATAGTAAATACGGTCCCAGATGTTTACTTACTTGGGGAGCCATGAAACACCTGGATGACATCATCATATAGGATCAGTGTGCCGGGCTTCTGGGCCATCAGGTAAAGGCTGACCGAGGCATACACTAACACATGGACAGACAGACAGAGAGATTTGTTGAACAGGTATATTAACAGGTATAAATTAATAAATTAAAAAATATCAGAATAAATAAATAAATGATAGTTAATGTGACTACAGACATGTTTTTAAAAAAAGTCAGGTGAGCGGTATAAAAAAAGTCAGATTTGCAAAGTATAATTACATTTTTATTTCATTTTAACTATTATTATACTGTTTAATTGTACATATTTACTTTTAACATTGACAACATATCTAAAAATTTGATTGTGGTTGTTGAATGACTGCATTCAGTTGATTAAAAGTACATTTTCTGTACTCTTTTATTACTCGTTTCCATTTTTCTCTTTTACTGATTTTAGATTTTTTTCCTTCCTTATTGTTGAAGAACAACAACAAAAATAACGATATGTAACAATTTGTATTGTAATAGTGTTTTTTTTTTTGCAATAAAATCTTTTTTTAACATAAATAATCAATGTAATTTTAATATAATTAATATAATTGTAATATAATTCATATGATTTTAATATAATTAATATAATTTTATGAAAAACAATTATCATTGTGAAGTGTAGAGCAAATGGGGTCGCACACCAGATGCACCAATTGGCGACGCGCCGTGCCACGCAGCGCCATGCATTTTAAAACTCTAAACATAGATTTCTATTAGGGTGTGCACACTGAATTATTTCAGGACAAGACATAAAGTTAACATTTTAACACTTGACACAAAAGGGTTTTTGCTGTTGTGGTGGTGGTTTTTTGGTGTCCATCTAAGTTTAATTTATCATTTAAATTTGTAATTTTATTGATTTATAAGCCTATAACATCTGACACTACCACTGAAAACTAGCCTTTGTGCTAATTTGGGTACATTTAAATTTTTTAGGAATGTTGATTAATGTACACTGTCCCTTTCTGTGAAATAAATTGATTGATTGATTGATTGATTTCAAGAAAAAAAATATATTCAATTAACTTCAATCCATCTTTATTTGTATAGTGCTTTTACAATGTAGATTGTGTCAAAGCAGCTTCACATAGAAGATTATAGTGAATTGAAACTTTGTCAGCATATATAAACTACCAGTCAAAAGTTTGGGGTCAGTTTTTTTTTTTTAAGAAAATTATTTTGTTCATCAAGGCGGTATTTATTCATTCATTTTCTTGTCGGCTTAGTCCCTTTATCAATCCGGGGTCGCCACAGCGGAATGAACCGCCAACTTATCCAGCACATTTTTACGCAGCGGATGCCCTTCCAGCCGCAACCCATCTCTGGGAAAGCGGCATTTATTAAATGTAAAAAAAAATGGTTAAATTGTTAAATATTTATTAAAATGTTAAATAACTGCTTTCATATTGTATGTAGTTTGAAATGAAAGGATTAATCCAGTCATTATTGCTTTTGTTAATATTACAATTAATAATAATAATAATAAAAGTAATAATAATATTCATTCATTCATTTTCTTTTCAGCTTAGTCCCTTTATTAATCAGGGGTCACTACAGCGGAATGAACCGTCAACTATTCCAGCATATGTTTTACGCAGCGGATGCCCTTCCAGCTGCAACCCATCTCTGGGAAACCTCCACACACATTCATTCACACACTTACACTATTGGCGAAGCAGTGGCACAGTAGGTAGTGCTGTCGGCTCACAGCAAGAAGGTCGCTGGTTCGAGCATACAATACATTTTTTATGATTCACTGATAGAAACAATAAACGGGAAGATTAAACAGATTTTTTTTAAACGTTATGAATAAATCATTGGAGCACTAAGACCTGAGATAAACCAACACACTTTATAAAACCCTCAAAGACTGAAAAAAAACAACAACATTCTGTCATGAAATCCTTCAGATTTTTTAGCTGTCATGTGTTCACTCACAGGGCAGACGGCTGGCGTGCCATGGCACTGAGCTGGTGAGGTAATCTCTCTGGGATGCTGTTATGATTACCCATGTTCCCGTGCGGTACGTGAAGCTGACCACCTGCACGCCGTCGCTGCCTGCACGGCTCTGCGCAAGCAGACTCTGGTTTCCATGAACAGCAAGAGCGGCGTTGGGCAAAGGTGAAAGGTCACCACCGTCAAACACCTGCACCCTCACCTGCACCTCTGACACACACAGAACAAAGCTCATATCACCAACACTTACACACTTAATTACATTCACAGTGACACGTTAATTAGCCTGTGCTGTAATTAATCCTGACTTTAACAGATGCTGGATTCCACAGATTTCATTCATGTTGTCCCAGCAAATCTTTTTTCGGCCCAACAAAAATCCTAAGAATTGTGTTGTTTCAGCTCATTTACAATTAGTAGTTTGAGCTACTTGAGTGTTTAATTGCGTATACTATACTCTAAAAGGAAAAGTGTGTATAGTAAACCTAAATCACAAGTATCTGGCTTAAAACATACTTGCTTGAAAGTAAATGCTGTAAGAAAATGTAAAGCAAAAATAACTTGTGTAAATAAATAAATTAATTAACAATCTAGTAAAAAGACACAGTAAAAATTCAGGGTTCCACACAATTTCTTCATGTTGTCCCAACTCAAAATAAGTTAACTTAAGTGTTTTCAAAAATTTAATTTAAATTCACTTTAAATGGGTGACGCCAGGCGTTGCCGAACTGCACTGTGTATCTGTCGGAGGTGCTTCAGAGGCGTTGCTCGCTGCAGAAGTTGGGTCTAGCTCAACTTTTCAAGCGCTGACGGAAGTGTCAGCCAATCAGATCGCTGTATGCAAATGCATCACATAAATAGCCTATCCGCTTGTTAAGTGTGACGTCACGCAAAGCGGCTTCCGGGTCCAAGCGCTCTATTCAACTGAATGGGGAGACTCATGAAATGGTAATAATAAACGTTTACAAAGTGATTTAATGCTTTCGAAAATCACGAGGGCAGTATATATGTCCATGCCTAATATCCGATGGCCAGAAAGTGATTAATTTTTTGTAAATTGTAAAATTTTCTGTATTTGTTATGCAGCAAGCACAGAGATTGTTGTGTACACTATGACTTTATGTAAAATTAACTTTAATGTTTGATAGGAATAAAACGTGATCATAAACGAATGATTTCTCCACTCAAATGAATGGCAGCTTGGACCCGGAAACAGTATTACATACGTCACAAACACGTCATCACTTAACAAGCGGATTGCTGACTGAATTTCATTGGCCGACGCTGCTGTGACGATCGCTTCAGCCTCAACTTCAGACACGCCTTCAGTCAAGCGTTGATGCTGAAGCCACGTGTGAATGGGGCGTAAATGTATGGGCCCTTAGAGTCGTGGAGGGGATAGGTGGGGATGTTGGAAGTTGTTGTTGATGAAAGTGAGTCGAGGGATGGGGAGTTGGTTCAGTAGGCTCCTCATAATGTCTCTGGGGCCACCCTAAATGAATGGGCCCCTAGAATCGTCCCAACTCTCCCAACCCAACCACACCCACCCCCCAGCGGCTCCCTTGTATAAAACAATTACGCTTTAAAAAAAAAAAAACTCAAGAATTGTGTTGATTCAGCTAATTTTAAGGTTGTAGTTTGAACAAACAGCAAAAACAGTTTTGTGTAATTGAGTATATTATGAGTATATTGTTGAGTATATTATATTTATTATTATACAAGCATCTGGCTCAAAACATACTTGCTTGAAAGTAAATGCTGTAAATGTAAAGCAAACGTAATTCATGTAAATACACTCTAAAAAATATTGTTTAGACAAAACAAAAAAAATGAATGCAACAGTTTGCATTAATATATTCAAGTTACGACAACATCTGACAAAATGAGGTTCAGACAACAAACTTTATTTTGTTAGCCAAATCTTTTCCTCTTCAATCAGAGGCATTTTTACTTAGCATAAACTCCATTTTTTTAAGTTGAGAACTCAAAAAAATAAGTTGTTTCAAATAGTTTTTTTTAATTAAAATTGAAAACAAATCCAGTGTTATGTGCGTAATTGCATTTTTTTTAAGTTTAGAACCTCAAATAAATTAAGTAGCTGTAATTGTTTAATTTAATTTTATTTTTTTGGCAAATTTACTGTTCATGCTTGTATGAAATACATTTCACAACAGCATTTTTGTTTTTCAGTAATTTTTTTTTTTTTATAAAACAGGTTTTTATTGTTTTACAAAACAAAAACATGTAGTGTTCCATATTATCAGTATAAAAAACAGCAAAAAACATCAGTGTGTGGAAAAATACAAAACAACTCCATTAACGTGGAAAAATTGAGTTATCAACCCAATTTCTTTGGGTTGCTACAAGTTAAATATTGTTTAAAAGTAATTGACATTTTTGTTTACTTTTAAATTAGCCGAATTTTTAAATTGATGTAATTTTCAATATTTTCCTGTTTTGAAAACTTAATAAAATTATTCTGGAAATTTAAAAGTTTTAATCTAATCAGCATTTTAGAATTTTTAAAGTTACAATAATGTATTAAACTATGTAGTGGTAACAGACCTCTTGAGTTATTTTTTAGAGTGTAATTGAATAAAAATAATAAGCTAGAAAAAAATAATAACGAAGCGAAATACATATAAACATCTCTATTTCATCAGGTTTATTATATTCTAAAATGCATATAGATTTGTCTTTTAAATGACGATAATTTGGCCGACACGGTGGGGCAATGGGAAGCACAAGTGCCTCACAGCAAGAAGACTCTACTGATGAAAAATTTAATCTTGGATGGCCTGAGCGAGAGTAAATTCATTTTTAGTAGAACTTTCCCTTTAACCAGCACTTCAGTGAAGCGCAAACACCCCCAAGATGATGCTTAAGCACATTATTTAGGCAAAATTACCCAAGTATTACACCCCTGTGTGAATTCGAGCACAGATTTCCACGGCTCCCATAAAAACAAGAGGTATATCTGTCATATCGCATTCAACAACAGCATGCAAAAATCATAAATAAACACTTTTGCTTTTAGCCAGCCCTTTGAACATCTCAAGTCTGCCTAAATTAACAAGCACACATGAAGCTATTTTGATGTGCTACTTTTTCTGTGCATGCAATACATTCATAACATCAGGTAATGAATTTATAGAGGCCAAAAATTTAGTAATGTACATATTACATATTGATTCCAATCTACAGTATTAGCCACGCAATGTGAATTGATAAGTACGGTAATTTAGCAAAATTACCCATGTGTTTTACACATCTGTGGATTCAGGCACAAATTTGCTCTGCTCTCATAAAAACACGAGGTGTATCTGTTATATCGCATCCCACAACAGCATGCAGAAGTCATAAATAAGCACTTTTATTTTTCAACACGACCCCTTTAAATCTCAAATTTGCATAACTGCAGGCACACAAAAAGCTCTTTTGATTTACGTGCATGCATTACATACATAACATCAGGTAGTTAATTTATAGTGGCCAATATTTTAGAAATGCACATATTGATTCCAGTCTATTAATCCAAAGGAATAAGTACAGTAATTAAGCTATATTACCTAAGTATTTTACACCCCTGTGGATTCGGGCACAAATTTGCTCGGCTCTCACAGCGTGTATCTGTCATATGGCATCCAACAACAGCATGCAGAAGTCATCGACAAGCACTTTTTTAATGCAGGACCCCTTTGAAACTCAAATTCGCATAACTGCAGGCACACAAAAAGCTATTTTGATTTTGGTGCATGCAATACACTCATACCATCAGGTAGTCAATTTATAGAGGCCAATATTTTAGTATTAATTTACATGCATGTATTGATTCCTATTCGCTATGCGAATGGTGAAGTACAGCAATCAGGCAAAGTATACCTAAGTATTTTACACCCCTGTGGATTCGTCCACAGATTTGCTTGACTCTCATAAAAACAACACAAGGTATAGGCCCTATATTTGTCATATCACATCCAATAATAGCAACAACAGCATGCAGAAGTCATAAATAAGCACCTTTTGTTCAACACGACCCCTTTAAATCTCTTATTCAGATAACTGCAGGCACACAAAAAGCTATTTTGATGTAAGTGCATGCAGTACATTCATAACATCAGGTAGTTAATTTATACACTGAAAAACATTGAGTTATTTATTTAACCCAATGGTTGAGGTAAACATATTTAGTTCTACCAAAATTTTAAAAAAAAACAGTTGAGTTATGGTATGTGGTGCTTTGTTGAGTTATTTTTAACCTTTATTTGGTTATTTATTTAATAACCCGAGCAGTTGGGTGTAAAATTGAGATTTTAGCAGTCAACTGATTTAACTGACACAAAACAGCTGTATTAATGTGTGTGCGTAATGTTGTTTTTGCGTTATAAAGTTTATTTAAGCTCTAACGCAATAATATTGTTAATTTTTTTAAATCAAATTACCTCTCCATGTCATGGTTTTTATATCCGTTTACCGTCTTTTAGAACCGTTTGTATGTGGTTAAGATGTATTGTACTTAGTGGACACTGAGTGAAGCGTGCTGCAGCTGCTGGGCAGTCTCTACAGCACACAGAGCTCCATATTCTGCTCCATCAACACAGGATTTTCTGCTCGCACAGTTTATAACCGTCTGTACATTGCTCTGTTTCTTTATTGTTTGTGATTCTTAATGTTAACAAAAGTGTCCGGAACTAAAATGTAATGGAAATCAAGCATTTACAATGCTTTTGAATACTGTGTGTTATTTATTTACTCCGCTTCAATTGTAAAATTAATAGTAATACTTCAATAGTATTACCAGAATCCAAGGGCGTAGAATTGGCATGGACGGACGGGACATGTCCCCACCAATAACCACCAATTACTGAAATGTCCCCACCAATAATTTAAACGCCTTCAAAATAAAATAATGCTCTGTCAACCCTTAGTAACCTAGATGTGCTTAAAGGGTTTACTATTATTTATAATACTGTATAAACAATAGGGATAAACTGTTAAATTGAGTCACATACCTCTCTAAATTTCTGTACATTCATACCCCTCCAAAGCCAGATCACAGTAAAATCATGTAAATTGACTTTTGCAGCATAGGACTTGCCTTAGTAATTGTTGTTTTATATTATTAAGTGTTTAAATGTTTTTAAAAGCACAAAAATGAATTTGTGCCATTCAATACATGTGCTCTAGGGATGTACGTCCCCACCAATATCAAGAGCAAATCTACGCCCTTGCCAGAATGGGAAAAAAATAACATTTAATTAGAATAACCCAATGCATTGGATTAGATTATATAACCCAGTGCATTGGGTTAAATAACATGGGAAGGTACTAGTTGGATTATATGTTGAGGTATTTTTAACCCAGCTATTTTAACAGAGTGGAGGCCAATATTTTAGTAATGTACAGTTCATGCACGTGTTGTTTACAGTCTATTAGCCATGCAATGAATTAATAAGTACAGTGATTAAGCAAAATTACCCAAGTATTTCATATCCTTGTGTGGATTCTGGCACCGATTTGCTCGTCTCATAAAAACACGAGGCATGTCATATCGCATCCAACAATAGCATGCAGAAGTCATCACTTTTGCTTTTACCCAGCCCTTAGATTTCTCAGATTTGCACAAACTTAGCTATTTGGATGTGCTATTTTTCATGCATGTATTACATTCATAACATCCGATAGTGAATTTATAGAGGCCAATATTTCAGTGATACAGCAGATGCGCGTATTGTTTACAGTCTATTAGCCACGCGATGCGAATATTCGTCCGATGATGTCAGCAATTATGAATCGTGAATCGACTAATGCATGTTTTGTTTTGTTTTTTGTCATCATATTTTAGTAGGATGGCTCGATGTTTTTGTGAAGCAGGCCAACACCACTCCCTCATCCATCCACACCGCGATGCGCCTCTTTCTTCTCTATACTCACCCACAGCTTCTCTCTCGGGGAGCGATTTGCCGGCTGTGCCTTTAAAAACGGACAGAATGAGGAAGAAGAGAAAACGAGAGACGAGAAAAGATGGCATCTTCAAAGCTACATCGCCGTTTCCAGCTCGTCAGCCATATGTGTGTGTTTTTTCAGACATGGTTGCCAGCATCCTCCAGTGTGATGCGGGGATGCTGCGCTGATTGCCGCTCATTGTCAGCTGAGGGAGAAACAGCGGCCTCGCGCGGCCAGACCCAGAGGTGCGCTTATATTTATATATAATATACAATGCTCAGCATAATTGAGTACAGCCCATTTTGAAAATAAATCCTTTTATCCATTTCTCAGGGAATTTAGGCAGTGTATTTGGTGCATTTAAACAAAATAGATTTATTAAACAGATATATTTATTAAAATAATATTTAAGTCACCAAACATGTTTAGAAATTAAAAGATAATACAATTAAATTACACCTACAAATAAAAATATAGATATTTTTTGCTTCTCTTGATTGTTCCTCTTTTTTTAAAATGTGTATGTAATACTTTTCTTTTGGCAACGCAGTGGCGCAGTAGGTAGTGCTGTCGCCTCACAGCAAGAAGGTCGCTGGTTTGAGCCTCGGCTAGGTCAGTTGGGAATTCTGTGTGGAGTTTGCATGTTCTTTTTGCGTTCGCATGGGTTTCCTCCGTGTGCTCCGGTTTACCCCACAGTCCAAAGGCATGCGGTACAGGTGAATTGGGTAAGCTAAATTGTCCATAGTAAATGAATGTGTGTGGATGTCTCCCAAAGATGGGTTGCAGCTGGAAGGGCATCTGCTGCATAAAAACTTGCTGGATAAGTTGGCAGTTCATTCCGCTGTGGCAACCTCAGATTAATAAAGGGACTAAGCCGAAAAGAAAATGAATGAATGAATATTTTTCTTTTACATATAAATTTGGGTGTACTAATTTTTGGACCGTTATCGTAACTTATTTTGTTAGATTAGCTACGGATTTGGCTTTAGTACTGACTAATCTAATGTATAATATATAATGCACAATCGTAATATATATAAATATATATATATATATATATATATATATATTCATACACACACACAAATTCCTGCATAAATAAGTATATTATATAAATAATTAATAATGAACCTCTTTTAAATATCAAGAATATGACCCAAAACATCTAATTGAAAGTAAACAGCTTTATATGTAAAGCAAAAGTATACAATAATAATAACAATAATTTAAATAAATAAAAAATTGACAAATAATTATAATAACCTAACAACAATATCATAATAAAAATATAAATAATTACCAAGCAATTAAATAAATAACATAAAATAGTAAAAATAATAACCTAAAAATGTACTATATATATATTTTTTTCTATACTACTTGATTTATATATATATATATGTGTGTGTGTGTGTGTGTGTGTGTGTGTGTGTGTGTGTGTTTGTGCATAAACATATGTAAATATATAAATATATATAATGTTACTACATAAATTAATATATAAATTCCTGCATAAGTTAATATACAAACATTTAATAGTGCAGGCAGATAAACAATTAATTCAATTACACGAATATTAGGGGAATAAGAAAATGCTAAACCATTTCAAACGTTTATTCATTTTTAATGTGGTTTCGTATTTACTTGTCTATAAATCATCAAATTGAAAATTATATTTCACTAATACTAACCACAGAGAATAACTGTGTGTGTGTTTGTGTGTGTGGCCCTGCTGCAGGGAAATACCCCAAACTTTAAAAAAATTCAAAGACTGCGAACTATTTCTACAATATCTCTCAAATCATCCAGGGGGCGCTGTTTAAAAAAAAAAAATCCCATATAGCATTAATATATGGGTAATAATATGAATGAAAATCAGCAACGCTACATCCATCATATTGCTATTTTCAAATGACCCAGTAGCAAAAGATCAAAAGAAAATCGGCACACTGCCACTTTAGCTCTCAAAAATGTTTTTTAACATCCCAACGTTTCGACTTACATGGTCTTCATCAGGAAAAACAGTACAACTGGAGTACTCAAGAAATAGTGATACACCTCTACACATCACACCTTCACTCAATCACCCCAATCAGCCAGTAAACAGGCACATACACATACAATAATATGAGGTACAAAAAAGATTTATACAAATCTAAATGTTAACTTCCTCTGAGTATTCAGTGTATAAATATAGCACATCACACCTGCAAAAAACAATCACATCATTCAACCAACAGGCCAGTGAACCAGGGGGGGAAATGTATACACATATATTTATGTGATGGTGTAAGATATAAATGCAAAAAGGATTTCAAATCAAAATCCAAAGTCAGACCTCTCTGAGACAAACCATTCAATGTGTAAATGTAAAACGCTTCCCTCTGCAATGAAAGTCTTCTGAGAAGGGGTGGGAATATTGACAGACCTTTGATTGGTTTGAAATTGAGGGTGAGTGAATGAGTTTGATTTGTGTGTACTGTCCCTTTAAGTAGCTATTTGTGTAAAAGGTGACCAATATCCAGTGGGGGTATGTTCAACATTTCATGCCGTTCAACAGGTAAATCCTGCTGTAATTTAGGTCACTTGAACAGCTTATAAGTCAGGAGAGGGGGGTCGAGGGGGTCTTTTCCGACTTCCATGGAAGGAAATGAATCGTGAAAAATCCTTAAGAAGGATTTAAAGCAAAACGCAAGCAATCTGTGCCAGCATCTGTGTAGTATTAGCAAAACTTACAGGGAAAAATGTTAATTAGATTCAAATACATTGAAAATACACTTGTAGTGCTTAAATGTCACTATTAATGTTTATAATATGTAAAAGCATTATTCATACAGTTCATAGGTTTGGAAATGGTTAAAAAAAGTTTAAAATACCATTCAATATCAAAATAAAAATTGAGTACACTCGTAGATCAAATATGTTCGGTTACCCCCACAGTCCAAACACATGCGCTATAGGTGGATTGAATAAGCTAAAATTGGCTGTCGTGTATGTGTGTAAATGCAAGGTGTTTCCCAGTGCTGGGTTGTGGCTGAAACGGCATGCGCTGCATAAAAATGTGCTGGATAAGTTGGTGGTTCATTCCGCTGTGGCGACCCCTTGATTAATAAGGGACTAAGCAGAAAAAAAATGAATGAATGGATGTAAATGTTGAGATTTATAAAAATGTTAATATTTCTATTATTCTTTAAAAAATGTATTATATTTGTATTATCCTACTGTAAATAATACAAATCTAATTTATTATTAATATTAATACATTTGATCATTTATTATTATTTTTTTATGATACAAATCAAATAAAATTTTATATTTGTATTAAGCTATTGTGTTGACTAAAAATTAACATAATCACGCCTGAAGACTTATTTTAAACTTATTTTAAATATTTTAAAAGTTGTTTTATGTTAATTAAATCCTATAATTGATAAATCAATTGAAAACGAAAATTTCTGAGCTGTAAATGTTTAATTAAAATGTCACAATTTAATAACCATGACATGCATAAATATTATTTTACATAATGTTTACGATCCGCTGCGTAAAACATATGCTGAATAAGTTGGTGGTTCATTCTGCTGTGGCGACCCCAGATTAATAATTGACTAAGAAGAAAAGAAAATTAACGAATGAATTATTGACACAGCTCATAGGTATGGGAATGGTTAAAAAAACATTCAAGATAAAATTTAATATCAAAATAATAATTAATTAGAAATTCTTTTATAGATTATTCTATAAAAAGTTATTAAATTTTTATATTATCCTATTGTAAATAATACAAATCTAATTGATTATTAATATTAATATATTTATTGGTTTATTAATATTATTTGTATTATTTCATGATAAAAATCTAATTCAATTTTGTTTTAACACTAACCTATTTTAATAAAATGTAAATATTGTGATTGAGAAAATATTTTATATTTGTATTATTCTATAGTAATCATTTATTATATTTGTATCATCCTATTGTGAATAATACAACTCTAATTTATTATTTATATTTATTAATACGTTTATTGATTTATTAATATTATTATTTGTATTATTTTCATTCAGTCATTTATTTTCTTTTTCGGCTTAGTCCCTTTATTAATCAGGGGTCGCCACAGCGGAAGGCACTGCCAACTTATCCCGCATATGCTTTACGCAGCGTGTGCCCTTCCTGCCGCAGTGGAATTTATTTTAATTCATGTATTATTATATGATACAAATCAAACTAAAATGTTTAATATTTGTATTATTCTATTGTGTTGACTAAAATTTAACATAAACATGCCTGAAAACTTATTTAAAATTTATTTTATATATTTTAAAAGTTTGTTTTACATTAAGTGAATCCTATTAATGATAAATCAACTGAAAAGAGAAGTTCATAGTTGTAAATATTTAATTAAAAATGTCTATGACATCCCAATTTAATGATCATGACATATATTAATATTATTTTACATAAAGTAAAACATATGCTGAATAGGTTGGCAGTTCATTCCGCTGTGGCGACCCCTGATTATTAAATGGACTATGCCATTTTGAATGAACTAAGAAAATGAAAGAATGAATGAAGTTTACGCCAAGGCATCCTTATCTGTTGTCGACACGCGTATTTAGCGATAGACATAGATAAAGAAAATTGCAATAAAATTAAATTTGACGAAAAATAAGGTAATATAAGACCTAAACTGACCACATAATCAAAACAGCGTATAAACATGACGATTTTGTGCGAATATTGTTCACCTCATCTTAATAAAAACACAAAAAATGTATACACTCTCCACTCCACACCCAAGATCAAACTGTGAGCCACATCAACGCCCAATTATTCTTGATTGACAGCTATCCCACCCAATCCAAGCGAAGCTCCCAAAGCGTCCTATCCGCTCACTGGCCAACTCAAACGTCAAGCAGTTCCACAAAGACGTCGTCGCCTCTTGCCCAATCACACCCCACTTCCGAGCCGCTCGTTTCCCGCCCTCTCGCTGTATCTGTTACATTCCTGTCGCACAGTGTATCAAAGGCACTTTGTATCCAGTTGCACTTCATACCAGCATCTCTGTTGGATTACAACGCACTTAACAGTTATCGTTTATGTTTGTCAAAAGCAGAAGCGAGGAAAGGAGCGCGTCACTTTGTTCCCGTCATCAGGAACATCAGTAAACAGCAGGTAAGGATGATGCTAATCCTGACACTGTAACGATATTTTGATGGAGGATCTTCTGCAATGTGATGAAGAATGCTAACGTTAGTAGATAATGCTGATAGAGCCAAACACAGTTTTAATAGCTCGCATGCTAGCTAACACACGTCCGTTATTAGCCTTGGGCGCACTTACAATCTATTTACATTACTATTTAATGACGTCGAGCTCTTAGTTTAGCGTTATCCAGTCATTTCCATCTTCTAAACATGTTCAATTGAGTATTAAGCATGTAAATTTAGTTTATAATAGCTGAGGCTTGTGTTTCTGTGTAGATCTGTGTTTGTTTCGCCCGCCAGACATCTCCGATAGCTGTTGGTGGTTTAATGATTGACTGCTTTGTTATGCAACAAAACCCTTTAAATAATTCATACAGTTTGTGTCTTGTAGGATGATTAAATTGAGTTTTAATTGATAAAACCGTGGTTGAGTGATGCACCTGCTCCTCTTATGTGTATTCTTACTCATTTGTGGTTGTTGTTGTGTTGTTGTCTTTGCTTGTTTTAGATTGTTGGATTTCAGTGTTTCTTGGTAATGCAAGTGAATTAATTAAGCCGTTATTTTTAATTGGGTTAAAGTTCATTTCATTCATCATGGAGAAGTGCCCTCTTTTGGCCATTTGTGGAAGTGCATTTGTGCCTCATTTGCATTTTTCCTGCAGTCTGATTTAATTATTTATTTTTTTATACACTTATATTTTTTGTTATTAAGCTTCAAACGATGGATGCATGACAATTAAATCGAACATTATAAAGTCAGGGTGATAGAAGTGAAGTAATACCACTACTAATAATAGTTATACATAATAAGAAGCATAAAAAATAATAATAACTAAATAATTAAATAAATTTCTTACAATTATAGACAAGCAGAATTTATTACAATAATCAAAGAAAAAAACAGAAAGAACCTGGACCATTTTAATTGCTTTCCTGTTTGTACTATGTTGAATAGGACAGAGAAAATCTTTCAACTCCCTATAAAATAGTGTAAAACAAGGTTTTTTTTGATTGAAAATTTGCTCTTGAGAATATTAAACCAAATCAATAGCAAAAACTTAGCTTTTTATGCAGTCTGATTTAATTAAATCCAATATTATAATGCCAGGGTGATGGAATGGAAATAATAATAATACATAATAAAAAGCAGACAAAAATAATAAAAAATACAAACAGAACACAACTAGACCGTTTTAATTTCCTTTCTGTTAGTACTATGTTGAATTGAACAGAGATATTTTTTTAACTTCTTATAAAATAAGGTAAAACAAGGTTTTATTGAAAATTTGTGAATATAAACCTAATAAACAAAGTAAATAGATCAATAGCAAAAACTGCGTCATTTATGGAGTCTGATTTAATTATTTTTTTTGCATTTATTATTTGTTATTAAGTTTCAAACAATACATACATGACAGTTAAATCTAACATTATAAAGCCAGGGTGATAGAAGTGAAGTAATACTCCTAATAATAGTAATACACAATACAAAGCAGACAAAAATAATAATAAATACATAATTCAATCCTTACAGTTATAAACGAGCGTAATTTATTACATGAAGAGTTTAAAGAGAAAAAAGATTACATCTGTGCCATTTCAATTGTTTTTTGTTAGCACTATGTTGAATAGTACAGAGATAATTTTTCAACTCCTTATAAAAAGTGTAAAACAAGGTTTTTTAATTGAAATTTTGCAAACATGAAACCTAATTAGCAAAGTAAATAAACAGATAGCAAAAACTTTATTTATGCTGTCTGATTTAATTATTTTTTATGTATTTACTATTTGTTATTAAGCTTCAAACGATAGATACATGACAATTAAATGAACATTATAAAGCCAGGGTGATAGAAGCGGAATAATACTACTACTAATTATAATACATAATTAAAAAGCAGACAATAATAATAATAATAAACAAATAATTAAATAAAATGATTACAGTTGTAGACGAGCAGAATGTATTACATTAATCAGAGAGAAAACAGAATTTAACTGTACGATTTAATTGCCTTTCTGTTAGTATTGTGTTGAATAGTACAGAGAAAATTTTTCAACTTATAAAATAACGTTCAAAGTTTATTGATTGAGAATTTACACTTGTGAGTATGAAGCCAGGGCAATAGAAGCGAAATAATATGCCTACTAATTAAAATACACAATAAAAAGCAGACAATAATAATAATAAACAAATAATTAAATAAAATTCTTACAGTTATAGACGCTCAAAATTTTTTACACTAATCAAAGAGAAAAAGGAATACAAATGTACGGTCTTAATTGCCTTTTTGTTAGTACTAGGGATGCTTCGATCGATCGGCCAAAGATCGTTATCGGCCAATAATCACATTTCATGACTCGACCGGTACTAGCTAATCTGGCCGATCTCATGAACCGATCACAATTGTTTAATTATGAGTTTACAAGCAGAGAACATATCAGAACTGTAAGTTCTGTGTTTTTAACAATATTGCAAGTTCATTTAAACCTGGCAGGACAAATTAGGGAAATGTGTTAATTTATAATTAATAATATAACTTATTAAAATATATGTATTGTAATATACAGTATGGACATATTTCCTTTTAGCAAAGTAGTAATAGACTTACAAGTTCTCATTATAACTTCTTATGCATCAAATATGCGCTCTAAACTTTATTGAGACCTGTTGAATTCTTTCATCATTTGCAATGTTTCCAAATTGCTTTGTTACTGATTTTTCTTACCAATTTTTTTACATCTATTTTATATATTATTTTATGTAAAGCGGCTTCTGACCATGACATGTCCTCACTAAATGGTTATAAGAGACATGTTTAAGGAATTATATGCAACTTCTTTAATTTATTCTCTGCGGTAAAGAGAGATCTCCACTTCCAAGTATCATATTAAATGTGCTTTATGCATTATAAAGCTTAAAGCATCAGAATCGATACTTGGTATCGGCCAAATACCATGACAAGGAATTGGTACTTGGTATCAGCTGCAAAAATCCTGATCGGAGCATCCCTAGTGAGTACCATGTTGATTAGTACAGAGATAATTGTTCAACTCCATATAAAATAAATTTTTTTTAATTGAAATTTTTTATTTTTTATTTTGTTTTTATTTATTTATTTTTATTTTTTTGATTGAATTTTTTTTATTTACACTTGTGAATATAAAAGCTAATCAACAAAGTAAATAAATCAATGGCAAAAACATTGTTATTTATGCTGCCTGATTTAATTATTTATTTTTTATGTATTTGTTATTTGTTTTTAAGCTTCAAATGTTAAGATACTTGACAATTAAACTTTATAAAGCCAAGGTGGTAGAAGTGAAGTAATAAATTAATCATACATAATTAAAAGCATACAAAAATAACAATCAATACATTATTAAATCAAATTCTTACTAGTATAGACAAGCAGGAATATTTTACATTTAAAACCGAACACAACTGGACAGTTTTAATTAGAACAGATGTAATTTTTCAGCTCCTTAAAAAAAAAGTAAAACAATCAACAAAATAAATAGATCAATAGTAAAAACTTGGTTATTTATACAGTCAGATTTAATCCTAGAAAGCTGTGGCAATGGAATGACGTGGGATTGTGGATTTGCATATTCAAATATGGTCTTCTGTACTTGCTTTCTCACCAGGTCTTCGACTAAGTCACTTAGTGAGCATTTTCCCCTTCAATTTTCACTATATTTTATGTATTTACATTAAAATAAATCGTGCAGGTAAAAAAAATAGATAACAACTTTTATTTGTGGCCCATTTTTAGTGTGATTATCTAGTAATTAGTATTTATTAGGCTTTTATTAATATTTTTCTAGTTGTATTTAATTTAAACTGTTTAAATTGTAGTTACGTTTCTACCTTTTGTCATTTTTTTGCAGTATTTAAACAATACCACAGTACTATTTATAATGGATTAAATTTTTATTAGCATTACACGATCAAGATCAAGGCAACAAAATGCAGTTTAGGTCTAACCAGGAGTGCAATAGCAGCAAGTGCAGATAGGTATGCAAGTTAAAAAACATATATATGTTATAAAGTGCAAGTATAGAAAAACTAGTGATATTTACAGATGGATGTGCTATGAACATTATATACTATCTATGAACAGAGATTTACAATAGAATAATATACAGTATGTATATGTACAGGTTGCTATTAATAATCAGAGGCATGTATATGGATATGAACATAATAACAAATGCCTGTGTACAGTGTGTATGTACAATTCAAGATGATTTTCACATCAACACAAAACAAATTTCAGCATTTCCTTAGTAAGACTCTCTGGTCATGGAAACTGAAAAACAGTATACATGAAATAGTGTTATAAGATTTAGATACTTCAAATTATCCAAGTAGCTTATATATATTATCGATTACAATAAATTATTAATATAAGTCAGTCAGGAGAAGTGACAAAAATTCTGTTTATTCATTAAAAGCCCAATACTGATATTTGTGGGTCTACATGTTTTTTCGAACTACATTTTCATAAGACATAACTGATTAAGTGTGGTGTGGAAATTCGCCAAGATGTAGGGCTGAACAATTTATCGTTTGAAGTTTGAACATTGATACCGCAATGTGTGCAACCACAATGGGCACATTGCAGTATAAAATTTTTTATTAAAGATTTAAAAATCAAGATATTATTAAATATTATTGTATAAAACTATTTATACGATGATGACCATGTTATTTTATGCTTAATTGTTCAGTTTTTGTATTTGAATGCTGTTAAACTCCTCAGAAAACCACAAAGTGCTGTTTATTTAACTTTTTAAAATTTGTTTATGCTTGTAATTTATTACATTTTATGCGAATTTTTTGTATAAAAAAAAAGATCACCCCAGTCAATCTAAATTGATAATCTTTCTCAATAGAGCTATTTAAGTCATCTAACGAAGTTATGGTCATATCACAAATAGGTCTGGACCGATAAACGATATTACAATATATCGAATCGCGATAAAATTTGTCAATAACAATGATAAGCTCTAGACTTTTTTAACTCTATATTGATCTAAGAGCCAATCACACAGCAGAAATGTGCAACAATGGGAATCTAAAAGTGTGTTGGTATTAGAGATGTACCGAATTTTCAGCCACAGAAAATGTATCGGCCGAAAGTACCAATTAATGGACCATCCGTCTAATTTTTGTGGCTTCAGTCATTGTTGGGGTACTCTTACATTTGCAAGCATTAGCCCCTTTCACACATACACACCTTTACGGAAATTTACCGGCAATTTTCCGGAAAGGTTGTATGTGTGAACAGGCTCTTTTTGAAAATACCGGTAAATTCGTTCTGGCTATTTTCCGGAAAGAGAAGTTGTAACATTACCGGTAATTTTCCGGAATAAGCGTGTGCACGTCTAGAACGTGCTGACGTGAAACGTCTGCTTTAGCCAATCAGAACAGTCAGACGCATTCACGTCCGCGCGGTTTATGAGAATAAAAGCCTTTGAATATTTTTCCAGACACATTTAGCTGCTAGAAATTAGTGAAGATAGCGTTTATATGTTCAGCTTAATGCCAACTGTGTAATGAATTATCGATAAGATGCTTATGATAAGCCGTTGTTTGTTTACCTTCAAGCTTTGCGTGTGCCCATAAACAGTCTATGAGTGCCAGCACACACACATATCAAGTACATCTCGACATGCGAAAATGTTTCTCTAGATATTTTCTTCAAAGTTGTTTACAATACTGATCCATCCACAGAGTATGTAATGTAGTGAAATGTTTATAAATACAAGCGCAGCCGTTTAGAGCTCATTTCTGGTTAATAATGTCAGAATTGCCGCTATTTTGGAATGGATGTGTAAATGCTTATTTCCGGAAAAATTCCGTAACGTCCTCGCCTGTGTGAACAGCGCTTTTTTGAATGTACCGGTAAAGTCGTTCCGTAAATTTTCCGGATATTTACCGGTATCACTGTGTGAAAGGGGCTAAAAACAACTTATTTCAAAATGTATATCATTATCCTTTAATAAGGAAAATGATTATTGAGATTAAGCCCAAAACATGATATACATCGCAGCAAAAAAATCGCATTGTCAGATTTTTCCCAATATCATGCAGCCCTAATGTGTACTTTGACAATTTTATATAACACGAAATTGTAAAAAAAATAACTCTTATATATAGGGGAAATTTTTTAAAAATCATCAAAATTGCCACCAAAAAATCAAAACTGTATTAATACATATACAATAGTCCATGTTTTCATTTTGTTTGTCATTTTCTGATAAAAAAAAAAAACATTATCTAAATTGTAGTATTTTATGTCAAATTCTGAAGACGTGCAGTAATAACTGTTGTTTGTAGAATGAAATTCAAATGACATTTTACCAAGAACAAGTATCTGGTAATGGCATATAAACCGAAGTGCTATGAACTTTAATAATTTATTTTCCAGAGCTGTAAGTGAATGTGGATGAATGTTTGAAGAGTGTTTGGGTTGAAGTTGAGCACACCGCTAGTCATGAGGGAAGCCTTTGCTCTCGGTTTCCATAACAACACTGTTGCCATAGATACATCTTGTCGGGGTTTAGAAGTGGGTGTGCTTTCATTTATTTATAGTTTTTTTATATATATAAAGTGTAAGTGTCTGTCTGAATGAGAAGTGAAACATGGCAAAACTGAATAAAGGCAGAAAGAAGGAGTTTCCCTTCATTTACACAAGCTGGAAACTGATAGTTGTTGTTGGTCGTTTAAAGTGAACCAGTAAAGGCATAGTTTATCCAAATATAAAATATCTGCTATTATTTTCTGAGCCTGATTTTTTTTCTTCTACCCAAAACTGTTTCTTTCTTCTTTTAAACGCACACAAAAAAGAAGATGCTTTGAAGAATGATGAAAACTGTGATTAGTTTTTTTCTATAAGATGTCAATGTGTTCCAGTTTTCAGCATTTTTCTGAATATCTTCTTCTATAAATGTTTGGTGTAAATGGTGAGTAATTGGGCTGGGTGGTATGACTAAACTGTTATTTCATGGTATGAGGAAGTTTATTTTATGGTAACGATATGCAGGAGTTATTCCAGAAAATGTACAACAGGGCTTTATATAGTAAATAAACTTGAATATTTAAGAAAAGAGAAGGATGTGATTTTTTTTTTTTGTTTTTCCATGTTAACCTTATAAATATAGACTAAAAATAAAGATCAATATAAGCAAAGTTTGGACAGTTTTATGAGGACAGGCCTTATTGTTATAAACATTTCTTAAGTAACGTCTTTTCACAGATATAAAATATATCCCAAGTAACAGGAAAATAATAATAAAATTAAAAATAAATATGTAAGTACTTTATCAGCAGTTTTTTTCAAATAATAACAATTCTTGTATAAATATTGAAACCTAGTGATTACTTCTCAAAATGCAGATTTAGGTTTATGTGCAAGTAGTTTGCATACAAGTCAATGCAAACTGGGCTGTGGGAATGATGCGCAATGAGCAATGTGTTTGTCATGAATGCACTGAAATCGATTCAATTTCTGATTTGCTACCCAGTTTTGTCACATTTCTCGTGTTTTTGCTGTGAAAATATTCGCAAATTTACGCATCTTAATTTCTTCATTACTTTTTAGACTTTTAAAGGACCTCTATTATGCCCCGTTTCACAAGATGTAAATCAAGTCTTATGTGTCTCCAGATTGTTTTTGCAAAGTTGCAGCTTAAAATAGTCATCAGATCATTTATTACATCATATAATTTAAGCGTTTTTGTGCCTGTGCCTTTAAATGCAAATGCAAATGCTCATCAGAAGGGTACCCAGCATCAGTGGTTGGCATTTTTTTCTTTTTCTAGTTCTGCATGCAATCTGAGGGTGTTTTCACACCTGTGAATCGATTCAGTTGTTCCGAAACAGGGATTAAAATTGTTGCTCTTTGAACTTGGTTCACTTTCACACTGCAAAGTTTCTAAACGGACCAAAACAAGTCATGTGTGAGTAAACTCTCCTCACATTGGTCAGAGTTTCAGGGTTCATTTTGCAGAGTCCCGCTCAGCTGTCAGGGGAGGTGGTAGTTTGGTGGTGTTTGACAAGGTGCGCGCGACGCGTCTGAGGAGCAAGGAGGGATGTGGTGGGGAGGGGTGAGAAGGGTGCGCAACGTATTTGAGGACCGGGAGGGAGACGCGCGATTATCGGGAGATAATCACTCGTTTGTGGGCATCCGGTAATCTCTGTGCATTTGCGGATAACTCCCGAAACTTCCAGGAGACTTGAGATGTCTGGAATGACCTTCCGCCCTACTCGTAACTCTCTCTTCATATAGCTGTATGCCTATTACATATCCATAAAACACTGTGATATAACCGCGCACGGATCATTTGCTTTCTCACTACAATCGATCCGCTCCAGAGTTTGTTTCAATCGAGCCGAGACCACCTCATTCAAGCGATCTCGGAGTGATTGTTTTGGCGCGGATCTTTTGTTTGTTGTAGGCTATATATCTGCCTGTTTTGTCTAAATACCTGCTGGGCATGATCAAGCATTATCTAATGGTATGAACCATTATAGGGTGGTCAAATGTATATTTATATGATCTACCATATATTAATTATTTAGATACAGATCACCAGGTTTTTCTTTTATTCAAGATGTAGGATTGAACACTTAAGATTTACATAGTCATATTTATTTAAACAGTTTGGTACTTGTATAAGAATATTTTGACTGCAAAACATATTTTAATAGAATTTATATATTTTTGAATGATATCGGAAACATTTTTATACTGGAAACATTTTAAGGGAAATGTTTAAATAGAATCCTCCTGGAGGAATTTGACAATATTATCATTAATCAAATTAATAGAAGTTGGATGACATATCAATGTTGTTGTTATCTGTCTGTTATGTGATGCATGTTTGTTATGATTATAAATTAAAAACTGAATATTTATTACCAGTAGTAATATCTATGTCTGTACATTTTAACCATCTTCTCTTAAAGGGATAGTTCACCCTAAAATGATAATTTGCTAACGATTTACACCCCATCAAGTGACTATACCTTTGAGTTTAATTATTTTGTTGACCACAAAAGAAAACATTTTGAAGAATACTGAAAACCTGTAAACCATTAACTTCCAAAGTTGGAAAAACAGATTCTATGGAAGTCAATGGTTACCGATTTTTCAGCTTTCTTCAAAATGATTTTTTTTGTGTTTAACGGAATAAAGAAGCTCAAAAAGTAAAGTATGAGTGACTGATGACCAAATGAAAAATAATTGTGTAAACAGTAAACCATCCCTTTAATGCATCATCATATCTCAAAATGTGGAAGTTGATGATGTAAGTGTAAAGCGAGATGTGATGCTGCCGTCTTGCACAGTATTAAATGCACAAAGTCTCTGTACTGCAGTGATATTTGAGCCGCTGTTTTAAAGCCTGCGTCTTTGTCTCTCCTTCTCTTCAGAAATGGCAGAAGCCCATCAGGCTGTGGCGTTTCAGTTCACCATCACTCCTGAAGGCATCGACCTGCAGCTTTCCCATCAGGCCCTGCGACAGGTCTATCTGTCAGGCCTACGCTCGTGGAAGAAACGTGTCACACGGCTCAAGGTGAACACAGGTTGCACGTAATGGAGGCTTTGAACGCTACATGATAGCCTTCTTTCTCCATGTGATGTAGTTTATGCAAGAAAATGCATATTTAATGAATGTATGTGGTGGGAATTGGTATTAAACCGCTTCACTTGATTAGACTGTGCATGCTAGGATATGATATTTGTTCATATTATTTTTTCCTTGAATGCATTTTGATATTTTATTATAAAATGTTTGGATAAAGTGTTTAAATGTACAATTAAATATTAAAGTGAATTGCTCATTATTACACTACAAATATTAGAGTAAATATTACATGACAGTATTAATACATTTATTACAGTAAATTTTATATTGATAATGTATTTAAAATTTTTTGAATAAAATGCAAAAATGAGCAATAAAATGCTCACAATATATTTTTTAAAATGAAATAACCTAATTTTAATATTGATAATGTCTTTTAAATTTGATAAATCCTTTCTTTTTAATTAGGAATAAAACCAAATGCTCAGAATATATTTTGTAAAATGAAATAGCATAGCATATTATATTGATAATGTGCTTTAAAATTTGATAAATAAATAGTATTTGTTTAATTTACAATAAAATAAAATGCAAAAATGAATGATAAAATACTCAGAAAATGTTTTGTAAATTGAAATGGTGTAATTTAAATGCTAATATTGCATTTTAAAATTTGATAAACAGTTTTTTTTTCCAATTTTTAAAAAATAAAATGCAAGAATTTATGATAAAATGCTCAGAATATATTTTGTAAAATAAAACAGCATCATTTTAATATTTAAAATGCGTTTTAAATTTGATAGATAGAATTAATTTAATTAGAAAAAATAAAAATGAACGATAAAATCGTCAGAATATGTTTTATAAAATGAAATGGCATAATTTGAATGTTGATAATGCACTTTAAAATTTGATAAATAGTATTTATTTAACTTAGAATTAAATAAAATGCAAAAATTACCAATAAAAGGCTCAGAATATGTTTTGTAAAATGAAATGGCATCATTTTGATATTAATAATGCATTTTCAAATTTGATAAACAGTATTTATTCAATTTAGAATAAAAGAAAAAAAATTAAAAATTAACAATAAAATATTTAGAATATATTTTGCAAAATGAAATGGCATCATTTTAATATTGATAAAGCGTTTTTAAAAAGTATAAATAGTATTTATTTAACTTGGAATAAAATAAAATAATCAGAAAATGTTTTTTTTTAAATGCATAATTTTAGTATTGATAGTGTTTTAAAAATTGATAGTTTTTTTGTTTAGAATACAATAAAATGCTCAGAATATATTTTGTAAAATAAAATAGTATAATTTTAAAGCTGATAGTGCATTAATAAAATTAATAAATAGTATTTATTTCATTTAGAATAAAAGAAAATGCAAAAATGAACAAATAAATGCTGACTTTATAGTTAATAGCAGATATTTTTGTTTTTTTATTTTAGATTTTGTGCCTCTAATAGTGTTATAGTATTTTATAATTGATTCTAATAATAATTTTTTTAAATCTTTTTTTGTAGCAGTGCGTTTAACACCAATATTGATTTATAAAATCATATTTTGCAATATGATGCCAAAAAATCTTACAAAATTGAAAATTACAAAATATTTTAGAGAAGTCTTATTTATAAATTGTATTTGTTTTGAAGCTGATATGGCAATAATCTAAACTCAGAAATAAAAAAATTACAAATGTTTATTATTTTGTCATGTGCAAACATGCTTTAAATCTGATTAAACATTTAAATAGAATTATACATGTAAACATTTTTATTTTACATTAAAATATACAAATAAACAAAAAGTGTTGTAGCATGTAGAAGTGTGTTTGGCCGTGATCATTCTCACACATTCTTCATCTGGATTTCGCAGTGAGTGTTTTGTTTATTCAGGCCTCTTTCCTCATTTCTGTAGCGTTTGTTTATTCTCTCTCTCTCTCTCTCTCTCTCTCTCTCTCCCCTACAGAACAGCGTGATCACCGGTGTGTATCCCGCCAGTCCCTCCTCATGGCTATTTGTTGTGATTGCGATCTTGGCCACCATGTACACACGGTCGGACCCTTCAATGGGCCTCATCGCCAAAATACAAGAGCATCTACCGGTCAGGTAAAAACATGTCACGATGTTGCATCACACACATCCAAAATAAACAAAAACAAGTGAGTGATCTGCAGGTCAATGGCTCAAAGATGTACCCAAACACTTGTTATCCTCGTATGCAACTTGCTGTACTAGCTATTTTTCTAAAGAATAGGGAATCCACCCATGAACATGCTCGAGGAGGGTGTGTGCTTTTACACACCTTTATCCAGTATATTTCTGACAAAAGCAGGCGTGGTTTTACCACAGATACTGTTTTGTGGCTTTCATAAATATGTGTTTAATCATGTCTAATAATCAATAGCTGATGGCAGCTTTGTGCAATTAATATATATGCAATTAAATGTTAAAAATAAGTCTGTCAGTATCAGTATTTTGATTAAATACTTCCTTCTGCAGATTGTGATTGTCTGTCGTTGGTAGTTGACCATCCACCAATTTCTATGTAAAGTCTAGATAGGATATAGGGTTGGGCGATGTCGACCAATTTGACATCGACGATGTCTAATGTGAAACATCAGGATGGATGATGGCATGGTCATCATGTGAAAAGCAGGAGGTGGGTGTTTGACAGAGTGCGCGCGACGTGTCTGAAGAGCGAGGAGGGATGCGGGGATGAGAAGGGTGTGCAACTTATTTTAGGACCGGGAGGGAGACGTGCGATTTCTGGGAGATTATAGCTCATTTGTGGGCATTATGAGTCCCGCAAATGCACAGAGACTCCCTGAAAATGCACAGAGACTCCCGTAACTTCCGGGAGGCTTGGGATGTCTGAATATCACGTTTGACATGAACATTATTGAGCATATGTGGGGTAAGATGGAGGCATTGAAGATGAATCCAAAGAGTCTTGATGAACTCTGGGAGTCCTGCAGGAACGCTTTCTTTGCCATTCCAGATGACTTTATTAATCAGTGATTTGAGTCATTGCAGAGATGTATGGATGCAGTCCTCCAAGCTCATGATGGAGTCAGACACAATATTCATTCTGTCTCCACTGCAGCAGGACTTTATATTCTATACTGGACATTATTTCTGTTCAGTGACAAGTTTTTTGTCTAAGCAAAGTTAGACCTTACTGTCCTAATGAAATCATTAAAAATCAAGACATTATCATATTATACTTTGGTCAAATAAGCATAATCTAGAGGCCTTTGTCTTTCATATTAGCCACTTCTTATACCAAATGATCAACTAGAAGTCAAGTTATTTATTTGTTTTTTCTAAAACTTGGATAAGCGACAAGACTTTTGTCAGGTAGTAGAGTTAAATTTTTGTCACACTGTACAACTATAATTACTCTCTTTTTTATATTACTGTTAAATAAATAATCATTGAGTTCTTGAATAAAAAATCTGTTGTCACAAAAATATTAAGGAGCACAACCATTTAATATTATTTTTAATAATACCTTTACTTAGTTGCACATTTAAAATAGGGTTTCATAGAAAACACAAACAAATGAAACAAAACCTCTATAACACACACACAAAAGTCCACAAAAGCCACACCCGAAAAACGGCACACACCAATCGTGGCTTAGCAACCGTAGCTACGCGCAGGAGCCCTGTCAAGCTTTAAGCGAGGGAAACAAGTCAAAGTGTTGTGCATAGGTATTGTGCAAATCTGATACCCAGTATCCTAAAAGTTTAGATGGAATTTATTCCCTTTTCAAAACCTAAAACCCAAAGGGCAATAACTCGCATAACTCTTACCCTGAACAGATCTAAACTGTGTTTCCTACAAAAATACAAAGCAGGTTGTGTTTCACAGCTGTCTTTTTCTTTTTTTCCGCTCTATTATGAGCACTGCTCCGTTTAAGCCCTCGCCATAGTAGTCATACTAATAGCAATCATATTTCCATCTGTTTCAAGCTATGAATATTTGAAATTGCATATCAACAGAACAAAACTGAGATGTGATCACAATCTGAGCACAATATACTTCACCCGCAGCTGTTTTTCAGTGATTTATATCCCTCATGCCCATGTTAGATGGATATAGTCATTTAGTCATTATACTGGGTTAGTGTCTGCTTTTATATTTGGTGTCTGATTAATATTTGCTGGTAGAAGAAATTTCACTGAACAACAATTAATCTATCAGGTTCTTCAAAAAAGAGAGAAATCACGGTTTAATTTGTTATTATTAGATTACTTTTAGATTTCACCTCTCCTGCTGTGCATGAACTAAGCTGTTGAATGGTCGGTGTATGAGACAGCTAGGCTAAACTAGTGTCAATTTTGATTTAAATATTTTCTAATCGGTTGTGTATTATGTCGTGAATATACCCCTGTAATGCACACTGCAGTCCTTTTTTGTCTGGCTTTCTCGGATATCTCACCTGTTCGCCACAAATGACGAATTATATCCCTGGGAATGTCTGACACCAACATATTACATATTGTAATATACGTGCCAGGTACAAAAGCTTGACAGGCGTAGCAATAGTAACTAAGGTGGGCGGGGCTTAATAAAAAGGGTCAGTTAAGGACTTTCATCACAGCTATTAAATTACATTTAAAATATTATATATATATATATATATATATATTTATATATATATATATATATATATATATATATATATATATATATATATAT